ATATATGATTTATGATTATTATTCCCTTCAGAGAGTCAGAGAATCAATTCTGAAATATACATCAGCTATTCGAAATATGTGATGGACTATACTTTAATCATTTCTCTTCTCATACTTTTTTTTCTCACAAAAGTAAATGCTATTCTTCTTGAGTAAAACTCAGCTCTAGAGTTTTTATCTTAATGGCTCATCAAGTAATGTTACTTTTATACATTTCTATCTATTAATTAATATATCAAGATCTCTATTAGTATTATTATAAGATCTAATTAAGCTAGTAATGAACATATTCAATATTAGGTAAAAAGAGGTAGGTATCTTGAAGATATATAAATGGAACTAGTACAAGAAATTAGTATAATATGCTAAAAAAGTGGAACTTGAAAAACAAATCAATATACTAATAAATGAAGAAAGTATCTATATTCTCAATAATAGTAATAATAATCAAGATGAGTGAGATAGTAAAAGAGTAAAGATTTTCTATGATTCAGATATATTTAATAATTATAGATATTTTTAGCAGATATAGTTCAATATATTTTTATGATTGATAAGGTGTGATTATCAAATTACTATCATAAGTATAATGAGAAAAGTAAGATTATATAGGCTTACTGTGATTTAGATCGCTGAGCTATGAGATGAGAAATAATTTATATATTTATCCATCTCATATTTTTGCTGAAAACAATTACAGAGTGGCTAGAGATAATTTATATCTCCATTATTATTTTAAAGCATAAAACTCAGCTGGAGACTCACCAGTTAATGAAAAATAAAACTCATTAATATATCATATTCCAATAGATTTCTAAAGATTTTCTTGTCAGTGATCTTAAATCAAGTAAAATTTATAGCCTGCTATCTTTTTAAATCTCCAATTTATCTTTTTTGAAAAGTTTCTTGAGAAGAAATGACAGAGATAAGTTATTTGATGGTTACTTAATCAGAGTTTACTTTTATTTAATATTATAAAAACTAGTACTTATATACTTAATTTTGCTATACTATCCAACTATCATCTTGAAATATTTTTGAATGCAATTCAGGAGAATTTATACAGAAATGATATTAGAAAGAAGTCTTTATCATCTCAAACTATTCAAGTAATTTCAACTTCTTCTGAGATTCTTCAAGAATTTATGTATTTATTTGAATTAGAGATTTTTATTCTAAATAAAGTAGTAGATCAAGTAGAATATATCTATTTTATAGATCTTAACAACGTTAAGTCTAAATATATTTTAGATTCTTCAGAATAAAAATAATTATGAAAAGAATTCATCTTATGGGCAAGTTTTTTTGTGGGATCAAATTTTAATCAACACTTTTATCACCATTATCATCATCTCTAATCTCAAGTGAAGTGTATTTATCAATATATAGAAGCTCAAGAGAAGCTATTAGAAGAGCAAAATATTTATAAGATATTTCTATGCCATCCAAATGATAAACTCTATATTGTTAAAGAAATAATAAAAATCATTGCAAGTGATATCAATCTCTAGGAGTATCAGCATATTTTTAATCTGTAATATTTTATAAACAGTTTTGGGGAAAGTGTGATAGATTTTTTTGATATTGATAAAATATCTGCAAAAGAATTAGAAGTGATTGTAGATAAATATTATAAATATATAATCAATAATTTTGCATACCAGTCCAAGCAATTTAAATTTGATTTGATAGAATATTTTGAATATTTTATCAATAGTAATAATATATCATATATCACAATGAACACCATCTCTTCTTATTACAAAGCATATTAGAAATGCATTCAAAATTTGATAAAGAGACTCCAATTACTTTCTGGATTAGTTAATAAGTATCTCAAAACTACTTATCCAGTTTTACTATAATTTGCCATTTAGAATACCCCTCTATAATATCATATCCCTTATGAATTATACTGGATCTAATTCATAGATATTAATATTAGTAAAATATATTATATCCAGATATATTATAAATTTATATTTTCCTAATAATATATCTGGGTATATTATTTTATATCAATAATATACTCAAGTCTAATTCCATACTAAAGATGACTCCTCAACTAATTGTGGCTTGTAGCAGTCAATCAGAGAATTGCGACAGAGTTGCGGCTAGTTGCAGCTTCCATCTTTATTCCATACATTTATAAAATCTATTATTTCAATATTATAATACTCATCTTCAAAACTATCAATTGGATAATTTTGTGATATTATATTATTGCCTTTAATTATTTCAACAAAATCATCTAAATTATCTTGAGTTAAATTGATATCTGAATTAATATCTTCATTTTCCAAATTATTTTTTAAATTATCTTCATTTTCTGAATTATTATCTTCATTTTCAATTATAGAATTTTGATTAAATCTTTGAGATTATTCAATCCAATCATAATCAAAAATATGATTATCTTCAGTTCCATCATGGACATTAGAAATATCACAACATTTGAATGAGCACTTAATAAGATAAGTATCAACTTGATCTTATGTAATTTTTACCTATTTAGCAACAATACTGTAACTTGGACGTTGTATGCAGCTGGAAGATATCAATTTTTTTGTTTTTTCTGCCATCCAATTATTATATAATTAGTGATACTATAATAAATAAATATGTAAGTTAATATATCAAATAAATAATATAAAAATATCTAATCTTATCTTTGATTTAAATGATTTGTTTATATATACATCTAATAGTTGAAGTTTGCTGGTCAAGTCACCTGGAATTATAGCCATGTTTGTATTTTTTTCATTAAGTCAATTTTTGATAGGATCAGTCAAATGATCATGAAAAGAATCTAAGATCAATAAAAAGCGTAAATTATTCAATAATGATACATGTTAATTTCATATATTTTTGATCTATCAAATCATTTCATTATTATTCATATACCCTTCTTGATTAGTATGAATTATTATTCTGGCTAGAAACTTTTAATGTGAAATATTGACCAATTTAAAAATCAATACTGAAGGTAACTTTTTACCATCAGCCATACATGCTAATACAACAATAAAATTGGATTTTTCATATTCTGTTATCCAAATACTAACAGTGCTTACACCAGTTTCTTCAATAGTTATATTATTAGGAATATTAAAGATAAGTGATATTTCATCTATATTTCTAATTAATGTCAAGGGATAATTATATTGAATATGCTGATATAACACAAAACTTAAAAACTGATGCTGTATTGACTCTAACTCACTTGATAATTTTTGTGAAACTATAGTATGACATCAAACACTGAGATGGTAGTAATTTATAAATCCATCCAATCACTTATCACTCCATTTATAATCATCAATATTTGGATAAATTGCAAGAAAGCATGATCTTTCTGCCAAAGATTTTGCCTTAGAATGAACTATAAAATGTAATATAATCTTTTGTTCTTGGTATAAGGATCTCACCCAAATAATAAGATCATCCTCTAATACTAGATATTGAAGTCTCATATCAGAAGTAAGTTATTTTATTTGAGATCTTGAACACTTCAATTCTTCATATTTATATATTCAGTTTTGAATTTGTTTAGACTGAATATCAAATTTTTTTGCTGTATTACATTTGCTAGCACCAGGTTTATTATTGAGATAAGCAAGTATGGCCAATTTTTCATATACACTCCAACTGTATTTTTTAGTTTTAGTATTTGTCATATTTTTGATATAACGTACTATTTTTCTATTATACTTTCAGTTAGATTGGCAATTAAAAACTTAATTTTAATTTAATACAAAGGATACTTTACCAATATTATAAACTGAAGAATTATTATGTATTTAGGAAAAGAAAAAATCAAAGAAGTTTATACATTTGGAAAAAAGAAAAGATTGATTAGCATATTTGCATGTTGTACTCACCATAAATTGTACCTCCTTAATATTATATCCCCTGAACACAAACCTTCCACTTTAGTGTACTTACTACTGGATAACGTATTCCCTCAGATATAAATCAGATTTCAATCCATGGAATGGAACATATTCAGAGTATTCTAAGATGAAGAAGCTTGATCTTGTGCCAAATGTTTCAAAATTCTTTGGTATTTTTTCTACAGTTACTATTAATTTTAATATAATCTGCTAATTTTATTGCAATTTAAAAGATCATTGAAACTCTCTCTGTGTGATTTATTTGCTTGAAAAATTTGAAGGAGAAGAATTAGTATTTTTTAAGTTAAAGATAGTTATTTACATTAAACAAGAGCAAGCGATAGTCTTTAGATCAAATCTCTTAATTCATAGGAATTTTCTCATTATTACTAGAAATTAACACAATATCATATTTTATATCCATAATACTGTAATCAAATAAAAATGGAAATTTAATTCTCTTTTTGCAGATTATAACTTGGATTAAGATAATATTAGTAATGAGAATAAGCCATTACTAAAATATCTCCCTCCTAATACTAGGTTCTGAAAACAATATATCAAAACCAAAAAATTATAGAAAAACAAATATAGGTATGTGCAGATAAGATAAAGTCATCTTATATTTATATATAGACAAAATCTAATATTTATATTTTTTATTCAAAGATATTAAATATGCAAAGAGAAATTTATCTGCATGATATAAAAAATGATGCTTTTACAAACTGTCTTATATATCAATTTATTTTGCTATATCAAGTCTTATTAGTAATTTCACATATAAATATGTTTAAAAATAAAAGATTTTTTAATATAAATATATCATTAATGATTATTGGTTAAATAAAGAGATTACATATATAAATATAATAGCTGGAAGCTAATTCATATTAATCACTCATTGTGAGTGTATCATGTATTAATTATTATTTTTCTTGGCAAAAGTGATTGGTATGATAATTTGTCATGCAGAATAATTAAATTTTTCTATAATTTTTTATTAACTAAATTTTGAACAAATCTATATCTTATAAAAAATATTATCAAATATGTAATCTGAATTAGATTTATTAAAACAATGAGTCATTAAGCTTGAGACAGAGAATGGGAAGTTGAAACAAATTATAGATAAAATTGCTAATCTTAAGATCAAAAATACAAAACTAAAACAAATTATAAAGCAAAATCAAACTACTAATTATGTTTTACAGTCTTCAGTTTCTCTGACATTATTAGTAACTCCACAAATCTCTATTCTATCTTCTACTAATTGTCATTCTGATAAGAATAATAGTATCAACTCTGTAAATCTAGAAATAGTACAAAGTAATATCCCTGAGAAATTCATTTTTCCAGAAATAAATTATAATAATACTTAGAAACAGATATCTCAAGAAGGAGTCTTTAAAGAGACAGAAAATACATCTGATAATATATTTAATTCTGATATATATCAATCTATCTGCACAGAGTCTATATTATTGAAAGAAAAGAAGAAAAACAATTTTCTGAACTTTAAAAATAAAGAAAGTATTAGTAATAAGATAAGAAAAAGAAATAGTTCTGAGATCAAGAGTTACTCTCAACTCCTTAAAAAGCAAATTTGAATATTTTAGAAATGAAGATTCCTTATCCTAAGCCTGAATCATCTACTAATCTATTGTCTAATCAGAAAATTTCCTATAATTAAAAAGTGGAATGAGGTTTCATTATTTAACACATAATGATCACTTACATTTTTTATTTGCTACAGATGAATAGCTTTATCCTTACTAGATATTTATCTAAAGAGAAGTGACTCCCATAAAGCCTCCTCACATATAATGCAGCACATTTCTAAAACAAACTTTATCAAATGGATAAAATGAATATTAAGTATAAAATATTGACTAGAAACTGCACTATTTAACATTATTACTTACCTAGTATTCAATATATCACTCTATAATAATTATATGGTTCATCTCACATTGGAATAACAAATTCAATTTTAAAAATATTGGTACTGATTATTATATACTATCACTGATCTGTCAATCAAGTTATCAAAAATGATGATTTATTTTACTATGATACCACATATCCAGATCAAACCCAGTTCTTTTTGAAACTAAATTAAACTGTGAGATTATGAATTGATTCCTTATAAAATTGAACTGAAAAATTTGATTTAGTTCTGGTTCTACTAAAAACTAAACTGAATTAAATCATTCAGAATCTTAATATAAATAATTTAAAATATATTATATTAAAGTATATTGAAAGATATTAAAAAATATTGAAGAATATCAGAATACATGAAAGAATATTGAAAGATATAAAAAGATGTGAAAAAATATAAAAAGATATTAAAAGATATAGAAAAATATGAAAAGATATTAAAAGATATTGAAAGATATAGAAAGATATGAAAGAATATTAAAGAATGTGAAAGAATATCAAAGAATGTGAAAAGATATTTGTGAAAGAATGTCAAAGAATGTGAAAAGATATTTGTGATTGATATCCAAGTATAACTATTCTACTAAAATTAAAAATGATCTTTCACTATACTATTTTACTATATACATGAATATCATATTATAAAAATATAGATCCCAATATAAAATAAAATATAATATTTAAAAATAGAAATATAATAATAAATATAATAATATATAATATTAAAATAAAGATATTAAATAAATAAAAATTATAAAAATATGTGATTTTCTATAATTAAGAAAAGATTAAGAAATTAAGAAATTTTATGTCACTATAGTAACATATTTTCTTTTTCAGAAAATTTTTACTTCTGTAAAAATTAATTAATAATCTTTAATAATTCTTTCTTTTCAAGTAATACAATTTGGTTGATATAAACTCAAATTAATTGTCAAAGACTTCTTCTTCAGAGTTATAAATAAAAAAGATTTTATAAGTAATATTATATGATCTATTATATATGCATTTTTCAAGAGTATTTTTAATATTCTTTTTGATATCTGACATATTTCTTGAATACTTTTGAGATTGAACTGAAAGTATATATCTAAGTTTATAATATTATAATATTATTTGACTATTATTATTCAAGAGATTATTATAGACTAATAATATAGCTTCTTTAAGTTAAGTCAGTCAGTCTTTATTCAAAGTAGACTTAATATCTTTAGATATAGGAATAGGTAATTCAGGCTTTTCTTCAAAAGTTATTGAACTATTAGAATTTATAAATTCTGATTCTTCTTTAATATCTTCTTGCTTAATATTGACTTTGAATTCATCTTTAAAGAAAGTAATGATAAAGATATTTAACTAATCAAAATCTAAATTATTAATTATATTAATTGATTCAATAGGTATTTCAAGTAATTTAATAGTTATCTGAGATTTCAAGAAAAAAGTATTATCAATTTCTATGTCTTTAGTAAATTCAAGTTGCATAAGTAAGTTTAATAGCAAAATATTAGTCTCCTATTCTGTATTATTGCAGGTAAGTAATCTAAAGATTGAAAAAATAATTATTTCAAAAGATTATTGAGCAAGTATTTTTTGATAGATTTCTCCAAGAGATTTGATCATTGAAGAGATAATCCAAGTAGATAATTGAGACATGATAAGAAATAATAAAAGTAAGAAATATAAAAGAATTTGAAAAGATATAAAATAATAAAAGTAAAAAATAATAGATAAGAGTAAAATTATGAAATAAAGAAAAAGAAAAGAATAGAGAAGGTATTTATATAAAATTTGAACTAAAAATCTATTATAGATAATAAGATATTAAAAAATGTTAGGGTAAAATAATTATAAAAATAGTTAAAAATAAGATAAAAGATAATTTCAAATATAGGGATAACAAAAATTAAAGAAATAATTCATGTGAGTTACTTAATAATAATTTGTAGTTCAAAATAATCTTGATAATCATGATAATATTTGAGTTATCTTCTATTAATAGAATACTTATGAATATTTTCTTTCTGATCACAAATTTTATAAGAGATATATTTAATATAGTCATGAATATAATATTATTCTTTACTTTAGATAGATTGAAATTTATTTTCAATTACTGAGTATTATTTCATATTGAATAATAATATTTTATTTTTAATTTTAAAAATTATTTTATTTTAAATTTTATCATTAAATATTTAAGTATATTATAGTTGTTATTCTTTTATATTTTGTTTTACTTCTAAAATTTGTTAAGATAACTAATTTACTGTATAATATATTTATTGTATTAATTTTTCTTCTTCAATAGAATCTTCTTTCAAATAAGCAGAAATTTTTAATTCAATTGATAATTTAGCATTTTATTTATAAGTTAAGAAAAATAATTTATGTTTTGTTATTGAATTTTGATTAGTTCTATAAGTAAAAAGAGTAGCAAGAATGAAGATATCCTATTCTTGTTCATATGCTATTATTAACTTTTGTAAGATTGTATATAGTATTCTATTATTCTATTAAAGTATTCTATTATTCTATTTGTTTGTGAATGATAAAATGAAAAAAACTTATATTTAATTTCAAATTTTGCTGATAATTCTTTAACTATTTTGTTGATAAATTTTAATCTATTATCTGATTGAATTTCTTTAGAACATTTATATCTATAAATTATTTTTTCAAAAATGAATTTTGTGATTGTAATAATTTTCTTGTCTGAAATTACTTTAGCTTTAGACTATTTTATAAGATAATCTATTACTATAATAATATACTGATTTCTAGTTATTATTATTTTACTAGATCTAATTAAATTAATAATGATTCTGTTAAAGAGTTATCTAATTTTAATAGGATATAAGGCTTGTTGAATAGTTTTTCTACCAGTTTGCTAACAGATTTTACAAGTCTTTACATAATTCTTTATATCAGTTTTCATACTATTTTACCAGTATTTATTTGTAATTTGTTAATAGATTCTTCATATTCAAATATTCAGATAAAGAGCTTAAATGTAAGTTAATAAGAATAGTTTCTATTTTATTTTTTTGATAACTTGAAGAAATATAGTTAGTTCTTTTCTTCTATTAATTTTGTATAGTATACTATCAATTTGTAAAAGTATTTTACTTGATTATAAATTTTTCATTATTGTTCAAAAGTTGATTCTACAGGATAAGTTTTATTATTCAAATATTATTATAAATTATAGTAAGTTATCAAATTCATATTATTATTATAAAGATAAAAGTTATTTAATGATTTTTCAAATATATTTAAAATAAGACATTAGCATTTTGATTCTTTCTTTCAGATTAATAAGTAATAATAAAGATATATTCTATAAGAAATATAATCTATTAATTCACTCTAATAGAATGACTTGATTAATTTTTAAATAATTATCTCAAGATATTATAATTAATAATTATTTCAAAAACTATTTCAAGTAGATAATAATAAAATTATCTAATAATTCATATTACTGCTAGTATTTCTTTTTCAGTTACTCCATATTTTTATTTATTTGATTTCAAGATAATACTTGCATAAGCAACTGAATAGAATAGCTCCAAGTCTTGAGTTTGAGATATCAGTGTAAAGATAGAATTTCTTTATAAAGTTAGGATAAATCAAAATAGGTATAGTTGTAAAATATCATTTAATTTATTGAAAAGCTTTTTCTTGTTTTACAGTTTAAATAAATAATTTGGTATTGTGAAATAATTTGAATAGTGATACAACAATTTGAGAAAATCCTTTTATAAATTTTCTATAGTATTCAGCTAATTCAAGAAATAATCTAAGTTCTTTAATAGTTCTTGGCTAAGAAAAGTCTTTTATCTTTTGAATAGCTGATGGGTCAGAAAAAATTTCTTTTTTAGCTATTACATATCCAAGAAATAGTAATTCTCTTCTGCAAAAGTTATATTTTCTAGATTGAATTTCAAGTTGATATTTTGAATTCTGCAAAATACTTTATTGAGATGATCCAAGTATTTTTCAAAATCTTTTGAGAATATATTCAGATTATCAATATATATATATTAATAAAATTCTAATTATATTCTTTTAATATTATATTCATAATTCATTAAAAAGTTACTAGAGTATTATATAATCCAAAAGATATAACATTAAATTTAAAAAGTTCTTCTCTAGAGATGAAAGCAATTTTGAATTTATCTTTTTTTTCATTTCAATTTGCCAGTATCTAGAGATTAAATCTATAGATAAAAATCAATGAGCATTTCTAAGAGAGTCCATTATTTTATTAATTCTTGATAATAAGTATATATCTTTATAGGTAATAGTATTTATTTTTCTGTAATCAACACAAAATCTTTTTTTTCTATTTTTTTTGAAAATTATGATAATAGATGAAGCCCAAGAACTAGTTAATAGTCAGATAATATTTGCTTCTAATATTCTTAATTAC